CTTGACTCAATGGTTTTCTCCCCCAAAACTCAAGGTTTCTGGAGACCTTTTGGGTATTATTTTTATCGACACAGGAAAGAGAAATGCAACTTGAAAAGAATTGTGATTTGTTTTGAAAGAAAATATGAAAGACCACTTGAGAAAAACTACCTTTTCCTCCAGGTTCAGCATCCTGTCAACTTCGTTCAGAAGGGGATATGGACAAATCAAGACAGACCATTCAAGACTGGACAAATGGGAACAGAAAATTTGAGACAGGGCCTATTAGATACAGGGACAATTTGAGACAAGGACAATTTGAGACAAGGACATTTTGAGACAGAAACTATCTAATTGAAGGGAGGAATCGACTCAGGTTGGTTCAAAAATTTGAGTTTTTCCTTGATGAGAAAAAGTAACTTTACAGCAATGATGGAAAAAAAATAAAAACACCCTGGGATCATAGACTTTCACCAGTGCAATATTTGTTCATTTTTACACCTTAAACATAAGATAGTAGAGAGAAATGCGGTTGACATTTTGTCTCAAAATGTCTCTAATTCTCAAAATTTATTTGCCTCAATTTGTTCATGTCTCAAAATGTTTCAGTCTCGAATTTTCCTTGTCTCAAAAAGTTCCTGTCTCAAAAAGTATCTGTCTTGATTTGTCCTAGATTCGTTAAGAAGCAATTGCAAGGCCCAGAATATGACCAATTACAATTTCTCGCAATACTCACAACCAAAATTCTTCCTTCCCCAACTCAAAACCTCCGAAACTCGAACTCTTTTTCGCTCATTCCTCAAACTTATTCGACATTTACGGACGTTCGATTGTTCAATATTGTAGAGCGCAATTTAAAAAAAGCAAAAATCCACCAAGTATATACAATATACGAACTTCTCCGTTTTACGTCAGTTTCGTACAAATGCAGCAAGATTTGTATTTCTTCTTCCGGCATCGATTCTATGCGTTGCTTCAGGCGTTCACGTGCAGACAAACCAACGCCTGATGATGATGGTAAAGACTCCCGATTGATAACGATATTCGAAGATGCTCGAACTTCTCTCACAGGCCGGTTCGATTCCCTCGTTTCTTGCGTTGATCCTCCAATTCCGAATTGAGTTGCACGTCGAGAATCTTGACGAAAAAAACGACGAAAATAAAATGTATTATTGCACGTGACACAAGAATGGTGGAGATATCTACGAATATGAAACAAAATTATGCATTCAGAAAATGTCCATGAGCCACTGGAATCCAGAAAAAAAAATAATGATACGCCTCAAAATGTGAAACTTGGTTTGCATACCTCCATCAGCTAAACCGGCCAAAACTTCAGCAGTATCCATTGAATATTGCGTAGGCATTCCAACGTTCTCGGGAACATCTGCATGAATATCCGAAGTCAATCAGCAATTAAATTCTCCACGAAGAAACAATACATTCTGTTTAACCAGCATATGTTTTGCCAACAATTTCACGCTGAAATTCACTCGTTCGACACAGGACAAACAAGTTGAAGCTCGGTAACTCGAATCTTCCTCAGTCGACATTTTTTTCAATCCTCTGTCTGAATTCCCTCGGAAAAAAATGAACTAAAACCTCACGAACTCAAGATGTCCCTCCTCAAACCTCCATAACTGAAATGTTCTGGAGGCCATTTT